ACAACAAAATATACAGTCAAAACATTTGCTTATAATAAACCATAAAGAAATTTCTTTTTACGTAATTTTTAAAAAATGTCCACGATGTCAGATGTTGTGATCCCAGGTGAAGAAGACAGGGGAGGCTAAAGTACCAAACAACTCAGAAATGATGCTTTAGATACAAAAAAATGCTGGTTGATCTCAGCATCATTCTCTATGTTCCTGCAGGTCCCTGTGTGACTGTCTGCTAAGGAAGGTGCCTTCTTACAAGAGATCTGTATTAGAGAGACCAGGTCATCTTCCCTTATCTAACCCATTTATCAAAGAAGCATCTGCCAATGGCAGTAATTAATCAAGCCAGAGGACAATAGTCATTCACCATCTTTTTCTTTTTTCTTTTTCAGGGCTTCACACATGCCAGGCAGACACACCTCACTGAGCCCATTCCCACCTTTTCTTCCCTCTATCCCAATCCCTATGACCCTCCGGAGCTCCCCTCTTAGGATTTCCTTCCTCAGTGGCCACCCATTTCGGAAAAAAGAGCTGGATATCAGGAAACAGGCTAAGTGCTAATAAGGGCTGACTTTTACCTCTCAAAATAAATTTAGAAGTTTTGACCCTTCCCCAATTACACAGAGGAGAAAATAAAGTAGAAAGAGAAAAGACTGCCCTCTCACAATCACCTAGCAAATAAATAATCACACCAAGATTCAAACCCAGGCCAACCTAATTCCTCATTTTCATTAAGTCTGTCTAGAGCACTTTGTTTCTTGTAATTTTATTACATTTGTCATTATTTTTATCCTACTCAGTTCTTTTATTTTGGGGGTGGAGGTGCACAAAATTAAACTCAATCGAAAGAGGCAAGGGACTTATATGCGAATTTCTTGAAAGAATGACCAAATGGTCGATAAAGACGAGAAGATACTCAATTTCATGAGTCCCCAGAGTAATACCCAGCCTGCTCACTATGGGTACAAACTGGTAAGCAATGGTTAGACTGGCTAAAATGTAAGTAAAAATACAAATTATGCAGAGGCTTTGCTTATGAGTGTGAACTGATCACATCAGCTTGAAAATCTATTTTCTAGTACTGATTTAAACTGAAGGGCTCTATATGCTAAATAACAACAGCTGTATCGCTCCACTGAGGAGGCAATTTCATTCCTAGCTTTATATCCCACAGAAATGAAACAGCAATTCCAAAATGGCATGTGACAGATGTTTCAGTGTCTCGGGGTCCCCAGCCACCAAATGCCTCACCACTGTAGGACAGACAATTTAATTACAATAGAGCCACACAATGAAATCCCAAAGAGCAGTGAAAATGAGCAAGTCAATCTACCATAATACACCTAACCACTGGGATCCATTTCACAACAAAACCAACCACATCATCAGTCTAGAATGAGTGTATGTTGCACCTATGTGTCCGCTTTTAAAAGATTCAGAAAAAGGTGGGCCAGAGAGTTAACATTGCAGGTAAGGTGCTTGTCTTGCATGCAGCTCACCCACGTTCGAACCCTGACATCCCATATTGTCCCCTAAATCCACCAGGAGAAGTACTGAAGTGCAGAGTAAGTCCTGAGCACCACTGGGTATGGCACCAAAAATAAATAAATAAATTTAGAAAAAGGTGGGGGTGGGAGTGGGGGTGGGGGAATCCTAAAGGAGTGCGGGGTGACTGGTGAGTGAAAAGGGGTCAATGATGCCTGTGTAACTTGATTTCTTGATTTCTGAAAACTGGCCACAACCTTGTTCACTGTGGATTTTCATCAAGTTCAACACTTTGGAACTCTGCACTTCTCTGCAGATATGCTCCACTCGAAAAAAAAAGTTTATCACAAAACAGGTCTGTGGATGTGGCTCAGTGGCAAAGTGCATGCCTCCTGTGCTTGAGATCCGGCATGGTACAAACAAACAAGCAAACAAAATACTTATCAACAAGAATACCTTGCCATGTCTGATCTCCCTCCATGCATGCTATGCTAATATTTTAAAAGTGTTTCACAATGCTTAGATACTTCAGTTTTCATTCAGGAGTATTTCTTCAACTGACATTATTTTCATGGCATTGAGTAAGATAAAACAGCAAGTCAATTTAGATAAAAAGAAATGACTTCTGAGATAGGAAGCCGGGTTCTAGAAGGATGACTGTCAGGTCCAGCAATGATCCTGAAGACTCAATCTTAGGATTGAAACATTAATATCAAAACCAGAGACACAGACTGAGCCTCACAGGGCCAAGCAAGGGGCAACAGCCATGGGGGCGGGGGGGTCCACTGGTCACAGAGAAAGTCTGGAGCAGAAAGCCCGCGCACACCACTTACAGCAGTTCATCTTGCTCTTCGGTCACTAGTGTGTAGGCCAGAAGGTTGGGAATCACCGGTTTAGCCTCATTTCCAACTGTTGATCTGGGGACCGGTTCTCAGGACAGGTGCCAGCCCACAGGGGTAAAAGGGATGGACAGTGAGTAAGAGCAGAGAGCTGCAGAAGGTGCAGCCTGCAGAGGAAGAGCCATAACTAATGGCTGCCACTTCATTTTCAATGTACAGGACTTAACCTGCTTCTACAGAGACAGTGTTAAAGTAGTAGGAGCCCCATAGGCAGCCGGCGTGCTGAAAATACAGGGATAAGGACCATGGAGACTGGGATATATGCACTGAGGTATCAGCTGATTTAGACAACGTACTTCTACCTGTGGATCTGTTCTGCCAGCCACCCAGAGCCTCCACCCTCTCATACACACCACTTTCTACAGATTACAGAGACTTTTCATTTATAGCCTGAGTAGGAATCCAATACTGATAGAACCGTAAGATGGACACAAATTTGAGAAAAGTCGCTGGGTCTGTCCAATTCTTCAACATTTAATGAACAAGGCCCCGACTGCTAGTACTATACTGGGGTGGGGGGGGGCTACCTTTGTCCTATTCTGTACACCACCATATGCCATTTGTCATATGCCTTTTAGGAAAAAATAGAGGTCTCAACTGATAATATATATACAATAAACATACATATATACATATACCTATACATATTACATGCATATTATATATATATATGAGTTTTTCTCTCCAAGGAAATGAAACATGTTTCAGATTTAACATACCCACTGCTTTAGGTTGGCCATCAAGAAAGAAAACTGCAACTCATAGATTAGATGGTTAAAAAACAAACCTAAAATAGCATCAGGTGGGTTGTCAGAGGTAAGTGTTCTAAAGAAAAAATTATTTCCAGTGACCATGACAGAGAAATCTCTTAACTTAAAAAAATGTAAGTTGTGCGTTGGTATTTTGGTTGCTTATCCCTAGATGATCCCAGGGAAGAAATGATTGATTAAAAAGTTAAAGAATTAGCAAATGAACCAAATCTTCTAATTAAAACTCCAGAAACCCCAGATGATACTGTAATTTTTCTTTATATATTGACATGTTCAATGTCAAGAAAAGGACAAAAATAAGTGGGGTGAAATTTATGGCTTTGAGCCCCTATTTCAGCCTTTGAGCCTGCATGCAATAGATTGCATAACCACAGGTTTCTTTCAGTTCATTGTAGGAGAACAAACCAAAATAAACCAGACTATAGAATCGTCCTTCTTCCTTATTCTGTGAACACAGACAGACATTTCAAATTCTTTCTCCTTTTAAGATTGTCTAAGGCTACTTTTCCACCCTCAAAACTTTCTAACACTTATTTCCATCTTATTGAAACAAACAATGAAGTAATTTTTGGGGGGGGGCGGGGAGATGAGGTGGGGAAGACTTCTTCCCCTGCAGATGTGGTCTCTGGAAATCTTGGCTCACTACCTCATGTGCCCACTGGCTCCTTGCATATCATCTGTTGCATTCCAAAGACAAACAGCCATGAATAGATCCCAATGACACAATCCCTGGAAGGGGGCCTTCATGCTCTTAACAAACCTGAGTATCAGCTATAAGTCTTTGCAGAAGCATTGTTACCTCTTTCCCACCCTGAAACACCTGCTCTCCAACTTTATTGTTTAGATCCAATCAGATTGTGACCTTGTTTGTCCTGGAAGTGTCGCCTGCATCTCTCCTAGGAGCCAATTTTCCAAGGTCACAGATTTCTTCGTCTGATACCCTCAAGTATGGATTAGCTCTCTCAGAAGATCATCTATTTGATTTTGCAACCAGTGGGGCTCAACTAGTGTTAAGCAATTCATCACTGCAGTTTGGCCAGCCTGCCCACACCACCCTCTTGTTCCTTTTGACACCCTCCCTGAAAAAAAAAAAAAGAAGAAAGTGGCTGGGTGTAAAAAGGAGCAAAGAAATAAAGGGAAGGTTTCCTCCGAACTTGTCAGCCAGCCTAAGGGAGCTGCATGCATGTTTGAATTAGCAGCCAATCATCTGAAGTCGTGGTACTTCAGCATTTGTGGCAGACTGCCCTGTGCAATGCAACACTCAGACAGCCATTTTGCAAAACACAGCAGATTCATAAAATAAGGGTTATTTTGGTGCAAGAGTCAGAGTCACAGAGCTGCTATACTACTGCAACAGCTGGGCACCCGCCAAATACTTATCATCCACTCTTCTTTGAAGCTGTTTAAAATAAGATTGTCTAGGAGTAGCATGCATGGTGGTCTCTAACTGACCACCTCTGTTGTCTGCCTTCTCAAATACAATCCCCCCTCACCCATCCTATCATCATTCAACTCTGCAAAGAGGATGATTCCAGGTCTAAGAAATATCAACTGGTCTGAACAAACCTAGCTCTCGGAGACAACAGACTTCCCAAACCATCCCAAGCAAGTGGTTCCCCCACCTCACGCAAGTCACACAGCTTCCAAAAAGACAGGTTCAAAACATCTCCAGGACATCTCCAACTTTCACTGAGCCCAGGTGCTTGGAACCAATTCACTGCCCAAATGACTGAGTCCCTGACTGATCCCCAGCGCAGGGATAAAAAAGCCTCAGAAAGAGGGAACATGCACCAGACAGACACAGCTCGGATTTGCAGCCCCTGACTGCAATTCCACAGCAGCAGAAACTTACATAGGACGTCCGGACTCGCCTCCGATGTACCAACCCACAGCACTGCATGAAGAGCCGGTGCGGGATGCAGTCAGCGTGCGGCTTCACTGAGACGCATGGAGCCTTCCCTTCTCCTCAGAGCCTCTGTCCATTTCTTCCCACCTTCCACTCCCAGGTAAGAAAGAAGCCTGGGCAAATCAACACTTAGCTTCTGCCTCCTAGGTAGTTTCTAAAAACACCATCTTGGCTGGCAGACCTGCCCCAAACTTTGTTTTCTCTGTTTGGGATAATCAGATCTCTTCTTCTAGAGGGACTTACTGTCTCTGGACCAGAAACCTCCCAGAAGTATCATTCATATTCCCAAAGAGACCACTGCTAAGGAACGGCGATGACCCCAGTCAGGAGAGTTTCTGGGCTTGTCAAGAGCCATTGTCAGCTGGAGAGATTTGCAAACATCAGGGCATCTTGCATTTCCCCCAGCCTGCAGGATCTTGCTTCTCGCCGGCCTAGCCCTGACGCTGTGGATGTGACTGCTTCGGAGAAGGCGGCTGCAGCGGCCGCTTTGCCATCTCTGCCTCCTCCTGCCCAATGGATGCACAGACAACAGCAGCAGCCCCGGCTTCCCTTACCTCCGGAGCACTCGGGGCACTTCTAAGCTGTGATGTCTCTCCCTCCTCCCTCTCCCCTGCAAAAAACACGGAGTCTAGACTTGAGGACTATAGGACCTCCCTCCAGACGGGCAGACGCTTTGTGTCTCGCTGTACGCGTTTCCCGTGAATTGGAGAAAGGGCTCGCTGGCGTGGCCTCTGGCCCCGCTCTCCCTCCACGCTCCCTGCATCGGAGCCCGCCAGCCAGCACACAGGTTCCTCCCCCCCCCCCCACCCCCCTCCGCCTCTCATTATTCATTTTCTCCCTGAGAGCACATGAAAGAAGCATCACTCCAGCAAGCAAATGAGATCAGCGTCAGCCCTAATGAAATAATTAGATAATATATCACCTATGATGTAGAGGCAAGCAAGTCAGACCACCTTCCAAGCATGAGATCACAGCCACAAACCCTCCCTGCCAGCTCTAATTTCTAGTCATTTCCACAGACACAGGTTGCAGAGGCTGAGCTAATCACAACAATCTTCCCCAAAGACCTGGTGCGTGTCACACCTGCAAGTCAAGATTACTGGGCATTTGGGAAAAAAAACTATAAATCTGTGTGGGATTCACTGCTGGAATGAGCAATGACTGGTACAGCTTTATAGTGGGGAGGGGGGCACAGTTATTGCTTCCCAGTTACCTTCATATGCAAATCCACCCTATACACTGGCGACATTTAAGGTTCACCAATTATTTCATGTCCCAGATAGACTCACCCATCACCGTGTCTTTTAGATGTTGGGAAAATGCACACTTATTACTTTTCTTTCCTTTTTCTTTTTTGGCCACACCCTGCATTGCTCAGGGGTTACTCCTAGCTCTGTGCGCAGGAATCATTCCTGGCAGTGCTTGGGGAGACCATATGGAATGCTGAGGATCGTCAGCCTAGTACAAGGCAAATGTCCTACCCACTGTGCTATTTCTCCAATCCAAACCTATTACTCTCAATGCAGGACGAGTATTTTCTTAAAATGTATGATTTAACAACTCAATGCTATTAATAGTTCCAGAGGCTATTAGAGCTGAAAAATCAAAACTACTTGCTTTAGTTCACTGTTCTTATTCAACCAATTAAAGAAATCTAACACCAAAGGGTCACACATTTAGTCTATAAGTAATATAAGCAACAGTAGCATGCATACACAGTAATTAGTATAACTTAAGTACTTGTGACAATTGTCTGGTTTTGTCATATACTAAATAATCATAACATGTGCTTGGAGGTTCAAGAGGGAACTAATGAAGAGACTACACATAGAGTTACTGTTTAAGTTAGTAATATTATGAGGTTACTATTTGAGTTAGTATTGTTACTAATGAGTTACTAAACTACTACTAAGTTAGCAAACTAAATTATTATTTAGTAAGCTATATTACTATGTAATAAACTGATACATTTAGCCAATTAAATTATTACTAAATTTAAATAATCAATTAAATTACTACTAAATCATTTACATAAGATTATAATTTTAGTTATATTAGAAAACTGGAATTAGAATAAATGATCTGGATTACAAAGCAAACTGACTTTTGAAGTAGGTCAGGGATGGGGTTGAGGTATCTCAACATTTTCTGGACCATCTAAGCCATATTTTCAGTAGAACTTCACTGACAATTAAAATAACTTCAGGGAGAACTCTAGTAAGAGAATAGAGCATTCAAATCATGCTTTTCCTTAAGAACACTTCATCCACACATTTGCTAGAATAAGTGAATAGAAATTTTTTAAAAGCCACAAATTAACTCCAAGTTAGACAGAAGAGGAAAATGCTAAATTTAAGCTGGGATTCATGCACTTTGAAGCAGCTATAGTCTTCTCATATGCAGGATGAGAAAGATTACAAATCATGTACCATCTCCCTTCAACCCCACCTTGCCAGTGAGAATCCAGGTAAGGATGCCAAGTACTAGCTAATTTGATTCAACAAACAATTTATCAAGCTCCTTCCACTTGGCTGGTACTTCACTGTGCTCAAAAAATAGAGATATGAATAAAATATAGTCTAATATATGTCCAGATAATTTAACACAATAGAGAAAAGATTGAGGTGGACACAATTGTAGCTCCACCCCTTCCCTCCAACCCCGATGCTAAGTCATACAGTGAGGGGCAGGGTGAAAAGACTGTGGGTTAGTTTTCATAGAGTGGAAAACCGGGATAGAAACCCCACATTCTGGCGGCAGGGTGAATATAAATGTCAAGTTGATATGGAGAGCAAATTGTGTTTATAGAGTATGAAAAGAAGAACTTTATTAACCAAGAATCACTACTGATTAATCCTGATACACAAGAATGTGTCCAAAGCTTCCTACAGTGCCCTGCACACCTTTTCACATGCAGTCCTGAGTCACTCCAGTATTTCTAGTTCTTTATGCAGTCGTGGGCATGTGGTAGGTCTGACAAAGACAGACTCAACGTTGCCCTTTCCTTATCTATTCTTTGCTTCTGCTCCAGGGACAGAGATGTATAGTGGTGCTGAGTTAAGGGATGCATCCCAGCCTCCCTTGAAACGTGGTATGGCCACATGACCAGATTCCATTCAGCAAAATGGGAGCAGAAATGCCATATGCCCATGCCACAGTCAGATCCTTGGAGGGAGAACATGCCATGCCCACTCTGTCTCTCTGTATCTTTGTCTCTGTGTCTCTGTCTCTGTGTTTGTCTCTGTCTCTGTGTCTTTCTCAGTCTCTCTCTCTCTCTCTTGTTCTTACTTTCTCTCTTTCATTGGTTGGCCAGGTAGAGCATGCAAAGTGGAAACAATTTCTAGAAGGACCCCACTCAGGTGAATGGAGCAGCATCATGGAAAGATTCTGGGTCTCTAGATCTGGAAATAAGAATACCTAAGGGAAATAAACACTTGTGGTGTTAAAACTGCTTTTTGAGTCGTGCGTGCTCGGATATGCTTCACAGTGTTTCTGGAATAAATGACTACATTAGTGAATCCAGCTACAATGGCAAAAGAGTGTGAGTGTGTGTGGTGGTGGTGGGGGGGGGTGTTAAGGGAAAAGAAGAGAGTCGAAGATCAGAGCATGTCCCTGACCCCACCATGCTAAAATACCGACACCATCACCCTCAAGAATCTTGACTTTTTCTAGTCTGGTGACTTGGAATTACTAGTGCCTTTAATTGTGAATTATCTGTAACTTTATTAAGATATGGGGAAAATATGTCTAGATGCTTTGGCATTAAACTAGTAGACAGTAAGATATTTGAGAGAAGTTGGAATCTTTTGAGCCTCTATAGTTGTCTGAATAAACGTCTAGTTCCAAAACATCAAATAAAGTCAATAAAACTGTGAGTCGGGTTCATGCAGCTAAATCACAAACCCAATGAGGTATTAAGTGGGCTATTTCCTTATAATGTGAAAGATATTGAGGCCAGGGATATGGCTCAGTAATAAAGCTCAAGCCTTGTATGAATGACATCTTGGGTTCTATTCTCTAGTGCTCCCTTTTCCCTCCAAATTAAAAAAAAAAAAAGGTATCCATGAGAGCTGGAGAGATAGTACAGAGGGTAGGGCACTTGCCTTGCACACAGCAGACACAGGTTTGATCTCCTGCATCACATATGGTCCCCCAGACATGACCAGGAGAGATCCCTGAGCAGAGTCAGGTATAAACCCCAAGCACCACCAGCTATGGTCCCAAACAAACAAACAAACAAACAAAACAAATAACAATAAAAAGTGTCCACAAGGGGCTGGAGAGAGATCAGTGGGTTAAGGCGATTTCCGAGCACATAACAGATCCTGGCTCTATCCCCAGCACCACAGTGGTCCCTGGGCACTGCCAGCAGCACTCCCGGGCACAGACCCAGAAGTAACCCCAGCATAGCTGAGTGTGGCCCCAGCTCCACCTCCCCCAGAAAAAAAAGTGTCCATGAGATTAGAATGATGAAAGCCACACATGAAACATAAGTTCCGATAAACACACATAATATTCATGTGAGAGGCTGGTAAAGCCCGGAAGGTTTATTTCTGGACTATCTTTATGAAGTAGAAAAGGTCTTCTTTTTTTTTTAATCAAGATGCTGGGGATCAAACCCAGGGTCTCACAGACTCGAGAGGCTCCTGTTCTACTGCTAAACCAGGTACTGGGAGAGATTGAGTTCACCCCCGCTCTCCCCATCCCACATCACTGTGAGAAGGGGATCACAGACATGGTGATGGGGTGACAGCAGATGAAATGCTTCTTTCAAGAAAACTCTGTGCTAACAGAGAACAAAACTTTCTCAGGAGGAGCAGGAGGTAGATTTGTGTGTGTGACTCTGTGTGTGTATGTGGGGGGGGGGGCAGGCTCTGCTTTAGGGCCTGCAGCTTTCTCTGTGCTGGGGCATGGTCCATGTGCTCTGGCCTGAGCACTCAGCCTCGACAGCCTGGGGTCAGAACTCCACCAATCAGAGCCTCAAGGCCTCCTACAGGGCACCGCTGACATCTCCATGAGCACAGAACAAACCAACACCAACAAGAGCCAAGCACTCTTGGGACAAGAACTGCTCTCAGGACTGAGAGCAACCCTCCATGGGCGCAGGTCTGCTGGACCCTAGTGATGAAGGGATGAATAAAAGGGCCGTTGTCCTTGACGGTGGCGAGGTTCAAATCTAGGCAAGGGGACTAGCAGAGCCCAATATGCCCCGACACCTCATGTTCTGGGAGAGAAAGAACAGAGCACTGTGAGAATAGAGAGCTGAGACTTTGTAGCTATAGCAGAGTCAGGGGGGCACAGCGCCAAGAGAGCCATGGAGCTGAGGCTCGAAGGGTGGGCAGGAGCCCTTCCTCCTCCCCCTGGCTTGTCAGCAGCTGGAGGAGCGGGAAGAGGCCCTCTTCCAGGAGAAGCTGGCTGGCCTGATGAGTGTCAGCTCCTCAGGCCCATGCTGCGTTTCTTTAATCTCTACAGGAGAGCCGCTGTAGGAGGCCCTTCAGAGTACAG